ACTTAATGTTATTAAAGGTAAAAAAACAAAATTGAAATTTATTAGATAATTATTAATTAAAAAATGTGACCACAAATTAAAAAATTAAAATGAATGAATTTGCCAATAAAATTAAAAAATTTTAATCCGCTAGCGATTTGGTACAAAAAGTTATATAAATTAACTTTTTCAATCCGCTAACGGTTTGGACCCTAACTGCTATCTGCTAATCTCTAACTGCTATCTGCTAATCTTAAATCGCTAAATAAAAATTTTACTAAATACTTTATTTGTAACAGTTTCGAAATATATAAATTTATCAAATATCTATATTTAACGGTTTAGTTAAAATCACTAACCGCTATCCCTAAACCGCTATATTAAGCGGCCCTAAATGTTAGTACATACTACTAATGTACTGCGTTTTTTATACGGACAAGATTACATCTAACATAACTTTTTTAATAAATGTGTCGAAGCAATATTGAGAAAGATTTAGTAAAAATACATTGGCAAAAACGAGAAGGTATCAATATTATAATTATAATTACAATTAATTAGAGAAAGTCCACACGGCACATCGAGCCCCTAAATCTAACTTGAATGGCTAGGCGGCTGACCATGTCAATTGAAGTGTAAATTTAGATACAAGAATGACCAAAAAAAAAAAAGGGGGGGCACTTGTTTCTTGCGGACTAGTGGCAATAGCTACCCCGGTGCATTCCCACCTCCCCGGACTGGGTTCGAAACCCGCCCCTTGCAAATATGTTAAAAAAAAAAAAAAAAAAAAAGGGGGGGGGGGGGGGGACAAACTTATATAATCAATAAATTTAGCTAGTTTGGCTCAAAATGCCAATATAAATTATCCCCAAATTTCAGTAGGTTGCTTGCTATTATCTCAATAAAACTGACTGTAGAAAGTGAATTGTTTTTTCTATATGAATGGTTAGTTGTTTAGTATTTCAAGAGTTTAAATTTTATTATTTTAAATTAATAAATATCAATTTAATTAAACTTTAGTTGGTTATTAACAAGTGGCTTCTTATAGAAGGAATTTTAGGGGCCATCAAAATTCAATCTTGAATTTTAAACTTGCTCAAAATTGCATCTAAGATTTTAGGGAGAAGTAGAGGAGAAAATTGAAAAAACATGTCACCTAACTAATTTGCTAGTCCTGTACAAATTCAGCTAATTTTTCTGGTGGAATACAAATTAAGGAAGTTGATAAAGACGTTGGCACCTCATAATATTAAGTACTTTATTTAATCATCCTTCTCCCATAGATGGGTAGTGAGTAAACAAAAATCAAATATTTTGTTTTAAAATTTATGAGTTTTTCTAATATTTGTCACAAGGTAAGTTTTTTTTATCATAAATATGAATTAAAAATGTAAATTTTGATATTAATTTTAATATTATTGTTAAGTTAATAAGTTTAATTGAACGATTAATAAATTAAAAGTTAACTTTTATTTTTTTAAATAAAAATTTATAATAAAAAAATATTTATTACACTTTTAGATTAAAAAAACCTTTATTATTATTATTATTATTTTTATATAAGACCTAGGTAGTTTCAATTGAAACCATTGGTTTGTCCTCTAATAAATTAATTAGAAGAAAAGTTTAGAGAATATAATAGTAGTTAGGGTGTGTTTGGATATAGTCATTTTCTTTTATACCTAATTTTTTAGAAAATGGAAGAACCTTTGGTTTAATAAACATGTTTGGTAATAATCATTTTAAAAGTTTAAAACCAATATCATAATCTCATAGTGTGTTTGGTTTGAAAATTAAAAGAATTTTCATATTTAAAATTTTTTTAGTTGTTTGGTACAAATGAAAGTAGATATCTCTAGCAAATTCATTTGGAGTTCATTTGCAAATGAGTTTTACATCTAAACATAACCCATAAAAAAAATATACAATGTGATTGAATTTTACAAAATTTCATATTTATAAAAATGTAGGATTGAGTGTTATGTCTACTTTTCTCTGGAGTACCTATACTATTGGAGAGGAGAGTTATATTTCGAAGGGTTAATTGAGTAATCTCAATACTTGATTCATTTAAAAATGTAAAATTTATTTATAAAATAAGAGTTCTTTTATTTGTACGGAAAAGTAAAAAATTGTAATAAATATATATTTTTATCATAAATTTATTTTAAAAAAATAAAATTTAATATATAATTTATAATTTATTTAATTAAATTTATTAACAAGATAATAATGTTAAAATTGATATCAATTTTTATAATTTTTTATATAAATTTATAATAAAAATATACCCTTAACATTGTTAAAAAAAAACTTATAAAATAAATAACCAAATATATTCCGTTTTAAAGAATTAAAAATGAAATAATTAAGAAAAAAATTTTAAAACAAAAACAAAAGTTGGCAAATTGCAAAGAACAAAATTTAACCCAAAAACATCTCAATCGTCCGGAGGAACAAAATTTAGGAAACTTCCTTCTTAATAAATGCAGGGGAAGAAGAAACGAGACAAGAGAAGAGGAGGCGGGCACAGGACACTGGTCCTTCCAAGAAGGGCACAGGGGCATTATTGGTATTAACAGTAGCCGTGGCTTTTCTCATCCCATTATTTTAAACAATAATATATTTTTTCTCGTGACATAACAATGAAATCAAAATGAAGAATGATTCCAAACGGCCCGTTCCGTAAGTGATTTTTGGTTCAGGGTTCAGATTTAGAAAGCAAATACAGAAATCACCCACTTCCATTTCCCATATTTATTTAAGCTCAATTCAGTTCCCCTGATTTTTGATCCTGTTGTTCTTTTAGTGCTTTCTCTTTCTTAGTTGATGGTGTCACTGGTTTCTTCTTTGTGACACTTGAAAGGTTGAGCAAGGAGGAAGCTTTATTTTGAAGCTCCTTCCTTTTTCTGAAGCAATGGGTTTCAGCAGGCCTCAGAAGGCTGTCAATGGAGTGTCCACCAGATGGGTTTCTTTGTTCTGCATTGCCAGCTTCTTCTTGGGTGTTCTTGTTATCAACAGGTTTCATTCTCTCTCTCTTTCTGCTTGTGCCCTTTGTTTTTGCAGAATGTGAAATGGTCAAGATCCTGTTTTGAATTCATCAGCTCTTTGATTTGCTTTTTCATTTATTGGGTTTGAATTTTGGAAGCTTTTACTGTTGTTTTTACTTTCTGTTCTCTGGTTCTTGTATTTGTATATTGAGGGATCTCGGTTGTTTGGCTCAGAATTATGAGCGAAATGCCCTCTTTTTGAATGGGTTTGGACTGTGATTTGATAGATTTGGTCCCAGCATCTGAAATCAGTTTCCAGTTCTGGGACTTGGGCTATTTGGTGCTTAAAAGTCTCAAAATTATGTAATGCACTTTTGAGATGCTAGTTGGTGGGACTATACTCGCCCTGCGTGATACCTATGTCTGTAACCAAAGATGTATGCATGCTTGGTACTTTAATTGGTTGGAGTAGGGCCTTTCTTGCCAATGAGCTGAACTGATTTGAAGAACTTGTTCCAGTGCCATGGGTACTCTGTAATTGGTAACTAGATTAGATAGTTTATAAACAGTGATTTTATAATTTGATTTGGAAACTTGGGGCTTGCTGATGCGCCACAAATTATAGAGATTTTAGTTTTTCATGAGTTAGTATAGAAAATGGGATTGACAGTAAGCCTCTGTCAGCTATCTCACAATGTTTCCTTGAAGATGTAGTGGTGCTGGAAGCTGGGAGAAACTGCTTTATGCATTTTTAAGGTTTTTTTAATCTTGATAAGCCTGGATATCATATCACCAATAATCTTTTGAGTATTAAACCAATAAAACTTTTTAGTATTCAACTTTGGCTCAAATGCTGCTGTTCTAAGTTGCTTCTCTATTAGGGTCATTTCTTCTTAACTTACCTCTTCTATTTGTTTGGGAGTCAGACTTTAGTCTTATCTATTACTTTATACTATTCTTGTGACTTCTTAGTTCTTAAGAGGGATCTGCCTTTTTTGTTGAACATATGCTTTCTGAAAATTGTCTTCTTCAGTTCCTTTGGGGACTCATAGGTGTGAACCTGATCTGCTTTCTGGCAAGCAACTTTTAATTGGAGTGTGGTGTTTCATAGTTTTAAGTATAAGTGAAAGGTGGCTGTTTTGGAGAGAGATGATGTCTACTGAAATAAATTTTTGGAATGATTCATGTTTCAACCACCCAAAAACCAATCTATCATTGGGAGACCACCTCTTAAAACTTTCAGAATGAAATAACTTTCTGGAGAAAATATGTGGTAGCTGCTATTCCTCTTATGCATTGCTTTCAAATTGAGACCAATCTATCGGAGTATTTAGTCCTAAAACTGATTAGTATTTTTATTTAAATGATTACATCCAAGCAAAACTACTTGGCAGGTGAGAGATTTATTAAAATTAGGGGAGGAAATCAGTTCATTTCAAGGCAGGTGATCAGTCTATTGTGAATGGGCTGACGAGTGCTTATCTTTCCAATGAATTTATGAATGATGATGTCTGGCTGTCTATCATATATAGGTGGTTTTTTATCAGAGCTCATGCCATTGCCACTTAACACCACAGGGTCGTAGTTCCAGATGACATTTATGTGAGAACAAAGTTTGTGATGGCCAGTAGGAACATATTCCCTTTTGCCCCTTATCCCTTCATGTTTTTTCAATCTGTCTATTCTTCTTTATGTACATTTTTTAGATAATGATAATTTCATGCACTGACTTCATAATGGAATCTGTGATAATGTCATTCACTGACTTCATAATGGAATCTGTTCTCTAGAAGACATAGAAGAGTTTGCTCTCCCAATTTTAAGCATTTTGAGGGAAGGGCAGTGCCAATAGGTGCTACATTGCCTTCCGAAACCTTGAAAGTGGGATTAAAACCCACTTTTATTGGTAAAATCTCAAAATGACATTATGTTCCTTTTCCATATTGGTCTGCTTGTCATTGTTCTTCACTTTAGTGCAAGTTGCTGCACTTTTGTTCATGATAATTTTGAGTGGAAATGAAGATTGACAAACTGCTTGACTGTTCTAGGTTTTGGGATGCTTCTGATCCAGTCAAATCGGATGATGCTTCACCAGTACAGAAACTTCAAATAAATGAATATCATCCAGTAGTTAATTGTAATAAGAAGGCAAGTTAATGGTACAAAGTTATTGTGAGCTTTACTTCATTTAGAAGTTTAAGTTCAACTTGAGGATATGCATTTTTTATTACAGGATGCTTCACTTCAGTCAGGTGACATTCTTTCTCAAGTTTCGCAAACTCATGATGTAATTATGTAAGTTTCTATGTACAACTGAAGATTGTTTTTGAAAATTCTGGATCACTTAATAAATTTGATAAATTATCCTTTTTTTCAACCTTTTAACTGAAATCCCAATTGATTCATGTGTGTACAAAATGTCTTTTAGAACTTAATATAGTATGCATTTGTGAAATAATAAATTTCAGGACGTTAGACAGAACTATCTCTTCATTGGAGATGCAGTTGGCTGCAGCTAGAGCTGCCAAGGCAGATGGTAATGAAGGATCTCCAATGGTAACAAAGTCAGAAACTGAGCAGGTAAAGGAACGCCAGAAGGTTTTCTTTGTAATGGGAATAATTACTGCATTCAGTAGCAGAAAACGGAGAGACTCAATCAGGGACACTTGGATGCCTAAAGGTTTCATTCAATTGGCCCTTCTTTTGTACACCTTCATTACCTAGTGAAATTAGTTAGTTTTTTACCTGCTGGTTATGGTTGACTTTAGGGGATGAGTTGAAGAAGTTGGAGAAAGAGAAGGGAATTATAATGCGATTTGTTATTGGACACAGGTAATTGTTTTCTTTGGTGCTCACCCTCCTAATTAGCAATGTTTTCTTTTTCGGCTGAAATTAGCTGCAGTATGATGATTGTTTCAATGAATTATGTTGGACCTGGATTTGTGATTTTCAGTGCAACCCCAGGTGGTGTACTGGATCGTGCTATTGATGCTGAAGAAGAACAACACAGGGATTTTCTGCGCCTGGTACGTACCTCTTAATATATCTTGAACTGAATTGTGTCTTCTTCTTTCATTTGATCTGTTTCCTTGGTCACAGAAGAATAACATTGGATTCATTCTGTTACCAAGTAATGACCTCAAAGTGTTTGTAAAAATAGAATGACTTTGATGCATTAAAGGAAAATCATATTTAATCAAATCTCAAATGAGTTTTGAACTGAAAGCTTAGTTGAGTAGTCACCCTCACCCTCTTTCCTGACTCCAGTTTAAAATTCCTACCTTCCTTTTCTTGTTCTTTGCTTAATACATGGCTGTGAACAGCACCAAGAAGAATTAATTCAAAAGCTTAGCTGAGTAGTCACTCTCACCGTCTTTCCTGATTCCGGTTTAAAAATCCTACCTGCCTTTTCTTGTTCTTTGCTTAATACATGGTTGTGAACAGCACCAAGAAGAATTAATTCAAATTAGTGTAGGCAAGGAAGATTGATGTGTTTGAAAATGAAGCGCTGGTTGGTGGCTTGAGGGTAGGAGTAGAAACTCAAAATTCTTATAAAATGTAGACTTTGACTTTCAAATAGCATTTTGAAGATGCTTTCACACTTTCACTCATTCCTTTGAAGTCTAAACATAATGACCATTATTTATTTTGCAGAATCACATAGAAGGATACCATGAATTGTCATCAAAGACCCAAATATACTTTTCTACTGCTGTTGCCAAGTGGGATGCTGATTTTTATATTAAAGTTGATGATGATGTACATGTAAATCTTGGTTAGTGCATCAGCATCAATTTTATTAATTTCCCAGAACATATGATAATATAAGGGTACTAAATTTATTTGGACTTATACAGGTATGATTGGTTCCACTTTGGCCCGCCATAGATCAAAGCCTCGTGTTTACATTGGTTGCATGAAGTCTGGACCCGTTCTGGCCCAGAAGTAAGCATTCAATCTTTATGTCATTTTTAGGATTGTGCAATTCATTTTTGCTGTATTTTACCTTTGGCTCTTCTATGCAGAGGGGTCAAGTACCATGAGCCTGAATATTGGAAATTTGGTGAGGAAGGAAACAAATATTTTAGGCATGCAACAGGACAAATTTATGCAATCTCAAAAGATTTGGCCACCTATATTTCAGTTAATCGGTAAAAGCCTTTCGAGAATCATGTTTATGCTGTCATATTCCTTCCTATTATCGTGAATTTGATTATTGTTTGTTTGCTGTCCAGCCACATACTTCATAGATATGCAAATGAAGATGTCTCGCTTGGTTCTTGGTTCATTGGACTAGATGTTGAGCATATTGATGATAGAAGCCTCTGCTGTGGGACTCCCCCTGGTAAGATGAGTTCATTTAATGATATCTAGCAATTAAAGAAAAATACACAAAGGCAGGAGACTGAGAATTGAGCTTTGGACACTTATACATTTGCTTGGTTGGATCATTTTATTAAAAGTTGATCCCATAAGTCAAAAAAGTGCTCTGCATTTTACCCTGTATTAGGTATTCTTCCAACTCAACTTGTTTGAAATTGTTTAATAGATTGCGAGTGGAAAGCTCAGGCAGGGAATCCTTGTGCTGCATCATTTGATTGGAGCTGCAGCGGCATATGCAAGTCTGTGGAGAGAATGGAGGAGGTGCACCAGCGCTGCGGGGAGGGCGAGGAAGCAATCTGGCACACTAGTTTCTGAAGGCTTCACTTCTTATATGCCTGTAATATAAGTGTGAATGTTTAATCGATGCCACAGTTCAAACAAAACCTTCTGCCCCGATTTTTGCCCCTATCAGTGCCTCGGGACAGTTGGACGGTTGGGTCTCGACTCTTTTTTAGATTCAATTAAATTGCTGCACATATTGTTTGTTCGTTCCAAGAAAAAAAAAAAAAAAAAAAGGGAAGGTGGGGCGGGGGGGTGTGGGGTGGGAGAACCTTCCTGTTCAAGAGTTCTCTTACACATTAATCAGAAGTGAGGAAAGAAAAAGAAAACATGGCTGCTTGGATCAGAAACATGTCCTAAATTGCTTAAATGTAAGAAAGAAATGAGAAACTTAAACTTGGGGGTGTTATGGCCGCGTACAATAATATAAAAGGGTATGTAATTTTATTATTAAAAATAAAATCAGTGATAAATTTTGAATAAATATAGAGTAGATCTTTACAAATCTCTAATAAATTCCTTAAAAATCTTTAATGAATCCCTTGAAAAATACTAAATGGGCTTCTCTTAGGTGAGGGAAATAGGTGGAGGATAAAATTCTTCTCTATTTGATTGCCAAAAAAAATTAGAGGGGAGGGTGGGAAAATTTTCTTTTAATTTGTTAACTTATCTAAACAAAGGGAATGGAGGGCAGGGGAAAATTGGGGAAATTTTCTCCTTCCCTTTCTTCCTCTCAATCCAAACATAATGCCTATTTGGTGTGGTTGGAGCTTTTAAAAAAAGTTATGTTGGGAAGAAACTATTGCAGAAATGTTGTTTTTATAAATAAAAAGAAAAATAAAAATAAAATAAAAATAATGTGTTAATTTCATTAAAATCCAAATAAAAAGCTTCAACAATTTTAAATTGTTGCACATATTGTTTGTTCGTTCCAAGAAAAAAAATTGTTTAAAATGAACAAATTTAAACTCTTGTAGAAGCATCAATTCAATGCTTATGAGATTTGCAATAAAATGAATAAAAAACTAACTTATGAGAAGTTATAATATTTGATGTAATTGGAGCTTTTGGAGTCCAAAAAACTTTCCATCAACTGTACTAAACATGCACTTACGTAAGAGTTTCAAACCAACCTCAAATTTAGGAATTTAATTTTCAATTGAAATGGTATATTATTACTCACCTTTAGTTGAACTTTTAGGCTTTAACTCAAATTCAAATTAAATTTAAACTTAAACTTTAATAATTATATATTTTATGTAGAACCTCAAGGAATTGCATTATTATTTTATTATCTTTTTACTACTCCCTCCGTTTAGAATAATTGAAGTTATTTTATTTTATTTTTAGATTAAGGATTTGTAGAAAATTTTTATTTTTACCTATATTATCCTTAAAAATATATAAAAATAAATAATTATTTTAATCAGATGCTTGATAATTAAAATTGAAAAGATAATCATAAGATTAAAATAGAAAAAAAATATGTTTCTTTTAAAATAGGAAAAATGATTATTATTTTAGGACAAATTTTAAATTAAAAAATGTCTATTATTTTGGAATAGAGAGAGTATATTATAAAAATTATTAAA